GCATAGAGGGATGGTCCTTTGGAAGGCCAAAAATGCAAGTAAAGAGGAATACAAAGAGAGGGGGCTACCCCCTCTGATTTAGGACCTCAAAACCACACCTGTACCACTAAAATCCCATTGGATTTCAGTGGTAGGAAGGCCAAACCAAGGCTAGCTCGGAGGCCTCCAAATATGGCTTAAAACAAAGCCAAACAAAGCATGCAAGGGGGCTACACACCCCAAACAGCAAAATGACCTTAACCAAACTTAAAAAGCACTTAAAAAAAAGACCTTTTTCAGTTATAAGAAAAGCCTAAAACAATATGCAAAGAGGGCTAAAGCAAGGTGCAAGAAAGTGCAAAACTAGGGGAAATGCTCACCCTTGAAGACCCTCTTTGAAACCAGCAACTTCAGGGGGGTGGAAACCAGTTTTCAGAGCTTAAGAAGACCTCCCAAGAAGCTTGATTCAATAGTGGTGGTGTATATCTATGTGTTGTAGTGTAAAAGTGCAAGGAAATCCAATTTCTAAGCACTAAACACAAACAATATAGAGAGAAATGGAGTTTTTGCTCTTCAAAAACTCAGAACCTGGTATAAGGGAGAAGCCTCTTCCTTATATAGAGGAATGAAAAGCCAAAGCTTCTTCAAGAAGCTTGTAAGGCCTTCATCCCTCCATACATGTGTATGGAGGGGAGCAAACAAAAATCCAGCTCGCTCAAAAGATCTGAAGGAAAACCAACTGAGATAGGGGGGTGCTGGCCATCAGTAATGGCCGACAGTGCCACACTGATGGCTGGCAGGGCTTCATAAGTGGCTGGCAGGGTCAAGGCCATGGCCGGCAGTGCACCACAGGGTCCACTTTGACAGGACCTAGTCAGGGTCCAAAAAAGAGGCAGAAAGGATACAAGGTCCGGAAAACTCGAACCGGTGACGTTCTGCCGCGACAGTCGAGTGCTTGACGAGCAATCGAACTAGTTGTTGGGTGTACCTGCAAGCACAACCAAGTCTTGAGGACGGTAAAAAATGGGGTGTCTACAGCAGGTCATAGGTCCAAAACTAGGACATGAAATCTAAGGGGTTAGGGGTCAGGGTTACTTACATCATTTGGCTGGGGGGCAGGAGAGAAGAAATTGCAAGTCTGAGATGGCATTTTGACTTAAACTTCCATCAACTCTGATAACTACATTTTGGCTTCTGTCTTTTGAGTTGCCTATACCTTTTCAAGTATGATGTCGAGTGATCAATTTCATAAAATCAGTTATAGTTCTATTTTTCTATTCCTTGTGAACCTTGGCATTGTGGAAGATTAGCAATTGATCAGTTTTCTCATTATTTTTTAGTAAAAATTAATTTCAAATTTGGACCAAGATGAATGCAGATATATATATATATATATTTAATCTTTTGAACATGAGTTCTTGCTACTAGACGAGGAATTTGTGTTGCTTAATGACGTTCAGTTGCAAATTACAATATTTAGGCCATTAACCATGCATTCCATTAGAATTTCAATAGTAAAATTGGATCTACTGCAACTGGGAAAGCACCTTGTACCTACTCCTAGGGATCGTTTCACTGTTTGTTGATTGAAAAAGTATTAAATGCCAACAACATGATCATCTTAAGAGTTACTCCAAGCATGATCTAGATTTTGTTTGTGGAATATTAACAAGGAGCTATTGGTTTTATTGCTTTCAATCGTAAACATTGTATGAACAATTTTTCTGCTCAGAGCAATGTTCCTACGCATTTTTTCTCCCTCCTTGCTTTGCTGCCCATAATTCACATTGCTGCTGTGAATGTAGAGAATCTCAAGTTTAATCATCTGCAGAGTTTGCTTTTAAAGTAGCATTGACATTTTTAAGTAGCTTGAGTTGTTTTTGAAGTAGCAATGATATTTTGAAGTAGCTTGAGTTGCTTGACATATCTTCTCCCCCTATAACATGATAACTTTGTTCAAATTGGTATCTTGACTGTATTGTTTTTATGCATGTGCAGCATACAAAAGGACCCTTGAGACGGATTGTCAGCTCTGGACCTTCTAGTTAGTATATTGCTTAATGAGAATGTAGACTTGTTGGGCTTGTTTGGTTTTGTTTTTGTTTTCATTTTTTGGAAAAACACGGATGTTTCGTCTTTCAGTACTTCACTGCTGGACCTCTTTCATTTATGCAGTCACCTATTCATCAAGAAGTTTGAAGATAAGGACATTGACCTAGGGATTCTGGTAAGTAGGTTGGAACCTCCTGTAAATTTTCCGAGATGATCTGTCTTGTAATGATGTTATGAGTATAGGACTTTTTTTCCCCTATATGTACTAGTTAACAATTTACTAGAACATTACCTAAAGCATATAGCTGTAATTAAGCAAATGTTTCCCTCTCTTTGTTTTTCTATTCCTAAGCATATTGCAATTTGATGTATGAATCGAATTTGCATGCAAATAATAATAATAATAAATAAATAAATAAATAAAAAGAAATGCTTTTATGAGATTTAAGAATCGATTGCAGTATTTTTGTCGAGCAGTGGCATTTCTTCGAAGGGTTGTTTTGAGGTTATGGCACCAAATGTTAAGCCCCATCAACATGGAAACCTATCAATATTATTAATCAATTGTTTTTTTTTTCCCTTTTTTTGTCAAAAAAATAATAAATAAATAAATGTGATTGCATGCCCATGGGGAAGCTTTTGCTTAGTTGTCGACAGGGAAATCTCAGTTAAAACAACTGTGTCGGTAAGAGGTGGAATGGTTCTGAGCATTGGCCATTTCGTCGCAAACTGGCTAATGTGTATCTAGTTTTTATCTTGTAACTCCTGTCCAGATTATTTAGAGTAACGTATAACAAGGCATTGTGGTTTCACTAATAGATAGCTTTTGCTGGAAAATTGAGTATCTTATCTTATCTGTTTCACTAATTGATTTGTGTGTCTCTCTCTTTGCAGCTAGCAGAAGCAACAAAAGCACAATTTTCATGTGATCACAGTGATCACCTTGCTCTTGTTCGGGCTTATGAGGGCTGGAAAGAAGCTGAAAGAGACATAGCTGGATATGAATATTGCTAGAAGAATTTTCTTTCTGCTCAATCAATGAAAGCTATTGATGCTCCGCGAAGGGAGTTCTACTCTTCACTTAAGGAATATGTTTTAAATTTTAATGCTAGATGGATGTGAATTGGATGATTATATAGATTACAAGCAGATTTTTAATTGAAGGAATATGTAATTTGAAATTATAGGTTCAGAATTTAATGATTTATATATTTTGTTGAATGTACATGATTCAGGTGAATTGTTGGTTTGATTGATTATTGTAAATTACAGATTGTATTGAATGAATTGGATAGATTATTATGAATTATAGGTTTATTTTGTTGTATGTTGGCGCAAACATTCCTTTTGGTGACCAAACTTTTTGGTCGTGGAATGTGATAATTGGCGACCAAACTAAGAGGTCATAGAATGTCACAATTGGCGACCAAACTTTTTGGTTGTGAAATGTGATAATTGGCGACCAAACTTTTTGGTCGTAGAATGTGAAAGTTGGCGACTAACATGTTTGGTCGGGAATTTGTCACTTTTCGCGACTAAATGGATTAATTGCAGTAATAATATATTTAGCCACCAAAAATTTAGTCGGCAAATCTAACTTTTTCCCGACTAACAAAAGTTTTGGTCGCTAATTACTTTTGCCGACCCTCAATTGGCGACCAAAGTAGTGACCAAAAAAATTGGTCGTGAATAGCTTTTGCCAACTAAAAATGAACTTTTGCCGACTAAATTTTTAGTCGGCAAAAATACAATTTCCAGTAGTGAGACTTAAAGACTTGATTTGGTTTATATGATGCTGTAAACATTCCTACACAACCTGTATAGACATAGAGGGCTTTCTGCCTGTTGATAAAAGTAGAAACCGAAATTATGTAAAATATGTTAACTGCCAACAATGAAATAGATATTGATTGTATTTGCTAATCTCTTTAGCCAAAATGCTTCTCAAAGCCTCTCTTCTTTTTCTTCTTCTGGTCAAATAATGGCTCTGCCAACTTTTGTGTCTAGGCAAATCTGTCAGTCTTTGTATTGTGATCAACTGGCTGTGATTATGGTGAGATGATCTAATGGCCGAAAAGGAATGGTAATTGTGATAATAAAAAATAAAAATAAAAATAAAAAAAAAACTTTTACATTATTGGAGTAACAGCGCCAAAAAAATGGGCAAAATGACACTCGTACGCTGAAAAATGGCTTTGGTTTTGCCAATCTGTTTATATCTAGATAAATATTTTAGCATTTTGAAAAGAAAATTGACTTTTTGGAAGACAAGAAAATTGACTTGAATCTTGCAACGAACTGGCTTAGGGAGGTAGTGTTATTCAAATATTTACTTTCACATGTTATCATTGTATATTTTGAAGTTTAATAATAATAATAATAATAAGAGAAATAATCTGATTTTTTTTGCACCTATACCTTAAGTTTACAGTGAGATTTATGACTTTTAAATTAAAGAATTTGGTCACTGATTTGAAATAGCTCAATTTTAAATATGATAATTTAGACATGAAATTCCTAGATAAAAACATCAATGAAATGAATACTATATTCGAATTTAAAATTGGAGAGAAAACATAAAAAAAAAAAAAAAAAAAAAGTAAAAGAAAACTACTTTTTTTCCCTTCCCCCTTGCCTTGTCTTGTATTCCAATAACCACTAAAATCAGACTCAATCAAGGGGGAGTGCTTAAAAAAGCAACAAGTTAGGAAGGAAGACCACGCCTAGAAAAATTTAGAATTTAAGCAACTCTTATGTCGCCTGAAAAACATGAAAGACCGACACCATGCACAAGACACCTGCTAAAAAAAGTCCAAGTTAGACAACTCCATTTCTAGAGACAGTTCTGTGGTTCAAACCCACGCAAACCACTAGAGACACTAACGATAAGCCTTGCCATTGAGCAAACCACCCTTTCAAGCACCATCACTGATAAATGATAAAAGCCAAATAAGGTAAGCCTAAAGCCAGGGAACCAACATTGCCAACCATTGTTTTCAGCAAATTACTCTGCTACATATAATACACAATATCAATGGGGAAAACAAGCTTTTATAAGAAATGTCAAATTAAATACCAACTTTTTATCCAGTCTTTGCTTAGTGTAGGTAGCCTGAATCTGGGAAACGGACACAGCCAACCCTTATTCTCCAGCAAATTACTTTATGCTACGAATACAACATAATAGGCATGCGACACACAAGCTTATAAGTATCTGTCAAGTTAAAGCTGTGCCACCATTAAAAATAGCATCCCGAAAACTAACAACTCCTCAAGGCTTTCATAATAACCCCAAAATCCAGTCAATTGAGAGGTTATAACCTCTGGGAGCAAAGTCTCATTAACCAAATTTACTTCAACAAGGGAAGAAAAATAGTGAATGGCTTCCTGAACCCCACATGTTCATCTTCTACTCGCTGCAGATCTAGATCCTGTGCCAGATAACAATCACAGTTAGCAGCAGCTGAAACATGAAGATAATCTTATACCAGATGTGGCTGCAAAAATTGACCAAAACTCAAATAATATATTGCTCTTATGAGGTTATGTATATCCTGCCTTAATTCCAATAGTTTAAATTAAGTGAATCACACAAGAAAGCCTAGGTGCAGATGGGATAGCCAATTAAGACAACTATAACATATGAAAACAAAGGCCAATGAGGACAATGATGAGACAACAATGGATAGGGAAATAAATACATGAAACAGGACAAGGGGAGAATCAAAATCTCATACTTCAATGTGCTATCCAAAACAGACAGTACCTCCTATTCAATCCCAGATTAGACCATGGAATTCAACTATGTACGCATGCCAGTATGGAAAGATAAAGTAGAACACAGGCACGTCAAGAAGTGCAACATTACGTTACGTACATACATATAGAAGATAAAAGCAGTGCAAGGACTAAAGTCAGAGGATCATTTTTTTAAGGACCAAAGTGGACTAGATTATGCTCACAAGCTTGCCCAAGCAAGCTACTATAAAGATATTTTATCATTCAAATGAGAAAACAAGGCCAAATTAGTCATGCCAAAAAAAAGAAAACACAACTTCATGCATTACAACAGGTAAGCACTTACTGCTTGAGCGTTTGATGTTTCGGCAGAACTTGCTGCCACACCGGCACTTAAATGCCTTGACTGGATGATCATGATCATCGAAATCGATACCATAATCCTGCAGACACATCACATTTATCAGCTTCACAAAGAAAACAAAAACAAATCCCCAACAACTCTTTTTTATGCATCAACCAAGCTTAAATAATAAGCATCGATAATTTGTCAATTGAGTTCCAAGCAAAGTAAACAAGTATACAAGCACACAATTGGTTTTGAAATTTTTTTTTGAGGGAAAACTGCATGTATGCGCTTGTAGCACGATGTATAAACTCATTAGCAGACATTCCAAGTGGACTAGATTTGTACTGTGCAATACAGGCAACATTAACAGGTCATTTTTTGTGCAACCATTAATTAAACCTCACAATCAGATAAGAGTCATATACAATTCATAAACGGCATGCCAGAACATGTCAAAATGTTTGTGCCATCTGCCAACCTCTTTCTTATATGACATATACAGTAAACCTTAGGCTATGTTTCACAGCTTCAGAAGATTTTACGTAACTTCGTCAGTCAAGTAAATGGTAATACACATCCACCAGAACACATTCAGGGTCTTCAGGGAAATGATTCTTTTGGATACCTCAAGCATATTTTAGAGTCTTTGGAGATGAAGTCATGAGTGCCTGATAGGTTCAACAAGGTACTGATGGGGATACCTCCATAATTGTGATCATCCGCATTGATGACAACTTCCAAATTCACAGCACATTCAGCTTTTCAAAACAATTTGATAAACAAAGCCTAACCTCATGAAAATATGTTCGCTTACTTTAAATAAAAAAATGCCCTTCTATAACTACAACTGCAATTGCTGAATTCAACTACACCATAGATTTCTAACTACCCATTTTAAGCACACCGATATGGCGGTGCACACCTTCTAGTACGTATATATATATATATTAAGTGAAAGTGCACAGCCACACTGTCACATGAATAACTTCAAAACATAATCTAATGAAAACTAACTTACCCACGTAAGTTCCTCCAATGCTTGCACCTTTCTGCTTGTGAAGAAGGCAAGCTGCACAAAGGGAAGACACAAACTATATTACATTCCAGACTTAAATGATTAGGTCAGCACCACAAGTAATGGCCAGAGGCAGAAGGATGTGCAGAAGTATCTGAGATCCATACATGATAATAATGATGGTCAGGAGTCTCCACCTCCACAGGTATCTCAACCAAGTTTGAATCGAAACATCTAGAGGAATAAGAAATAAATTTATTAAATATTAAAACCCAAATGAAGATTTAACTTCAGAAAACACCAAAAGAAGTAGAAGAAGATAAGCAGAGAGAGATGACAGAGATGTAAACTAAAATGTAAATGCAAAAAATGCTAGGATGCAATCTAAATGCAAGTGCCACAGAGAGAGAGAAAGAGAGAGAGAGAGAGAGAGAGAGAGAGAGAGAGAGAGAGAGAGAGAACAAAAATACAGTTCGAAGAAAATCTAGAAATCTAGATATTACACGTCATGAAATGGTATGTTTCAACACCAGATATAAATTGAACATCCAAAGGCTCAAGGCTTAATTGAGGCATCACATGAAAAAGCCAGATTTGTTAAGGACTCAATCTGTTGCCACCCATAATTATTTTTTTGGTCCTCTCTATATCTTACCTTGGACTATCACTTTTTCTTTTTCCTTTTCCTTTTCCTTTGTTTGAATTTTTCTTTATTGTAAGTACTGAGAGCGATTCCCTTTCTTCTATTGTAAAGTGAAGTTAAAAATTACAAGTCATGAAACATAATCTAAATACCTTGTATCAACAAAGATCCTGGTAGCGTCTTTATTATACATATACACATCAGTTATGATAATTTCAGAGTAAAACCAAAATGTTAATGACTCAGGAACAACCAACAGGGATCAGAACACGGTAATAATTAAGAGGAAGCCACAAGGGCATATGCGCTTCTGTGTTTTGTTGAACTTACCTATGATTAATAAACCTTGCAACATTTCCATAATGTGTTGCATCTAAACAAAGAGCCTCTTCATCCTTTAAGACTCCTTCTGAACCCCAATCAGCATCAAGCAGCACAGGATATGCATGCTCCTCATTGCTGGGGCTTTTCGAGACTCGCTCAAAGAGCTCTGCATTGGTTAATATTTCCCCAACATATTCACATACAAATGCACCTTTTGGGAGGTCCTCTAGGGTACGAAGACCCCATCCTTTTCCTCCAGGAGTCATAAACACCTGAAACATGGGGATAGGGGGAGCAAAACAGAGCAAACTAGTCATAGAATTACATGTAAACTAACATGAAGATCCTATTGAAAGCAAGTTTATTTACAGAATATGTAAACATTGCTGAGCCTCACTTTTAAAGAGACCCTTTTCTAAAGAACTTCATAAAAAAATGAAATCTTGGATTTTTTGCTTCAAGAGCTTGCCTTGGGAGAGTCACATAGTGTGCATTTATAGCCTGTTTTACTATTTTAGAAATTTGATTTATGCTTTATCGATATCACGGTTCAAGTGTTAAAAATTGGTAAGGTTTACTACTCTTTTTCAAAATTCAAAGTTCCCAAAAAACTCCAATTTAAAATAATAATAATAATAATAATTAATAAATACATAAACCTGAGATTTTTGGCTCAAATTCTCACCTGCAAATTGCAACTTATACCACGCTGTACCACCCGATTACCACACTGCTTACTGCAGCCACATTTCCACCAACACTCTTTTATGAACTTCCTCACTAAGTGACCTTTGCATGGTTCTATAATATCATCATTTTTTGATCTTTCCAGTGGGCACTCCTTACAATAAAAGTGGCAGTGCTTTTGGGGATCGCGATTCATCGAAATACACTCTTCTAAAAATTCATCTTTAACCAGGCCTTCTAAGGTGTATGCAAAATCACCACCAGTTTCATTTGCACAAGCACAAGGTGTTGACGATGATAAACAATCGCCAAGACAAATCGAACAACAATTCTCCCCAATCCGAGCCAAAGAGAAATTGACATAAGCATTCTGAAAAACTGCATTTTTGGGTATATAGTGAAAGGATGGTGGACACTCATTGTTGACTTCATTTACCAATGAAATCACAACTCTTTCTTGTCCTTTGGCTATGTCATTAGCATCATGAAGAGACTTTATATCATCAGGCTGCTGAGCCAACAGACTATGAGGATTTGCATGCTCAAGACTATTCTGTTCCTTTTCCTCATCAATTTCACCGATGTTCTCAATAGTATTCTTATCAGTTTGTGTGCAGTCATCTGTCCCATTGGACGATGATGGAAGTCTTGGAATTTGAGACTCTGCTACTTCAACAGCACATGGGGTAATGACTGATCCATTAGAGGCACCAAATGGCTTTACTCTAGCACCCAAAGCATCCAGTGCATTAGATTGTTTCAATAAATCAACAGCTGGCATAATTGTTTCCTGTGATTTATTGGCAGAGTCGGTTCCCAGTTCCTGAAAATACTCAAGCATATCTTTCATTAGTTTAATCACATAAAAACTTGCGTCTAGGACTTCATATGATCTAAGACTAAGACATTTATCGTTCACCATTTTGAAATCAGATTTTTCCAAGAGTAAAATTACAGGTCAAAGAAATTTTTACCTCTCCATAGTGTGAGGAAGCAATATCTAAGTTAGAAGAAGACCCATCCACATTGTTTGCAAGCTTGCAATCAGTTCTCCTTTCATTTGATGAAGCTAGAACACCATCATTTCTAGCTTCCCCATCTACAGATTGGGATACAACATGTTCAGGACCATCAGATGCTCCAATTGAGCCATTTGCACTTGAAGAATTTTCTATGCTTAATGGCTCTGTAAAATTTGAAGAAACAAAGCTGACCATCATTAGTTGAAAGATACTAGTCGTCTATGTGTATGTTAATCACCGAGAGAGAGAGAGAGAGAGAAAAGGAAAATCTACTGATCATATAAATTGTTATATCCAATAACCGAACAACATTGATATAACTGACCTTCAATGATATGAACACACTAACAACATTATCAATAAATTCATCAACATATCACCATCAAACAATATAAATTTTAATAAATTATCTATGTTAGCAACGTATCAAAATATGTTGGGACAAGGTTCTGTTGGGATAGATATGTCTTCAAAAATGAAAGATTTCACACAAATATTTGATAACTTCAAGTAAGACTCATTCCTACTATTTTAAAATAATCAACCATAGAAGTCACTAAATAGAAAGCTTTTATAGATCACATAAACCAACAAAGGCCATCAACTTTTAAGTGACAAAGCCCAGAGACAAGTCCACTGAATAAGCTTGAAAGGGTACAGACCAGCTATAAGATCCATGGTATAACTTTATGCATTATTCAAATAACACAATTTTTAACTAGTCCTCCAGCAGAGATACTGTGAAAGTTATCATTTTGCTATAAGATGCCAGTCATCAATAAGCACTTAAAATTATCACAGGTCAACCACAGGAAATAAGATGTACCTCCATGAATCACTGCACTAGGAACCTCTGACTGCAGTATGTCATCAGTGAATGGCTCATCTTTAGGCTTGATCAAAGCACGAGAATCATGTACGTGCGGCTTGGGTGAAAGGACAATGCCAGTGTCACCCATTGGTTCTTTCAAGCGCACTGCATGAGGCGACCTCACAGAAATTCCTGGAGCAATTTGAGGTAAGAGAGGTTCCTTTCCTTTTCCCGTGAGACGTACTGGAGGAGGGACCAAATCAGATTCAGTTCTTGTAGCAAATGGCTCAGTTCTGTCAGCAGCACCTGGCTGAGATGGCTCAAAACTATCCTGTATTGACACGGGCTTAGGCAAGACAGGTTGCTTTCCTTTGTTTCTAACAAGTGGCTGTGGTGACTGTGTCATATCCTGTGACCGTTGTTCGGGACAAGTCTCAGGCAGATCAGCCTCCTCCACTTTGGGTGGCCCTCTTGATGAAGTTTCACCCAATCCAAAAGAAGGTGAAACATGATCATTCTGGTTCCTTAAGCGCAACCTTTTTAGGGGACGTTCGGGCTCCTCATGCATCTGAGCTTCTTCATCCATTTCCTCTTTCTAGTCTCAGACAAAAAAAGAAAAAAGGGGAGGGAAAAAAAGAGTCAATAATTAAAACCAGTAAGTGAATATATCATATGAGGGAGTGAGATAACAGCATCTTGAATCAGTACAAATATGATGATAGGCCACATACATCAGTGATTTCATGTTTCTTCTTTTGCTCTGACGCCTGAAAGATGAATTAAATGAAATTGGTTCGAAAAACTTAAAATAAACAGATGGAATAAACTAATAAAAATAAAGGAGCCAAACAGTCTGACTAACAAAAAAAGAAGGCTGTCAGGTAAGATAAAACACGCACATGAGAGAGAGAGAGAGAGAGAGAGAGAGAGAGACGCACCTGTGTCTCCTCTTGGTCAAATATAGCATCTGCGAGGGCTCTGTAATTTTCTTCTTCAATAAGTTCCCAGTTTTTGTCATACAATTTTAAAAGATTTTTCAAGACTGGTTTCACTTTTTCTTCAATGATGCCAATACTCCTCATAGCACAAAATGCTCTCGCAACTCTTGGATTTGGTGCCATTGCTTATCTCCAAGTCAATATTTTATAAAACAGAATTCCAAATATTCCAATGCACCTACATTTCCCTAGATTTTGTGAGAAAGGTAATAATGGGAGAAAACTACATAAGATGCATTGAGACAAAAAAAAAACAAAACAAAAACAGATTTCCTATGACAGAAACATCAAAAAAAAATGCATCACATAATTCCATCAAAATTAAAATGCATTACAAACCATGCAAAAAATATCATACTTAATCCAAATATGAAAGATAGATGAGCAAATTTTAATTGCAGTAATGACTTTGTCAAGGTACTACACGTCTTGAAGGAAGGAGAAAGAAAATAATGCAAATATTTCTGTCAATTGCCATTAGAAGTTGAAGATAAATTACATTGACCTCTCTTGACGTTTATGGTATTTCTAGAAACCTCACCTACCATTTTTTAAATGACACTGACCTCGCATCTAGTTCAATTTTCTATTCATGATTCTCCCTTTCGCAAGTTGATTGTAAATGAATTGCTTAGGTTGCCCTTATTTTATATATACAGACATGAACACGATTGAAATCCATGCATAATAGCCAAAAATACCCTCATTTCTTGTGTTAGAAACAAAAATGCCCTCATTTTTCTGTATGGAAGAAAAAATACCCCATCGCCATCTTCACTAAGTCCACTCCCTGGCAGCCCTCTCTCTGAACTACCCATTTTTAGCACTTCCACTTTGGCATGTATAGACGTTTACAAATCATCTAAACTACCAAAATGCAAGTTACAACATTTGTGTTAACCAAACAAAATTTAGTCCCCTTTTCTTTAACAAAAACATGGATGAACAATATAATTACCAATTATTAATTACAAAAAAGGGACATGCTACTTATTATCACACTGTTTAGAACTAAAATATTGCGAATAGAACCCCACCCAACATCCCCCATGCATGAAATTTACTCCCAACCTCAAGCTCCAATAAATAAGCTATAAAACTTTAATATATATATATATATATATATACCTGAGTTGCCAATGAACCACCAAGAGAAGCACTCAGAGAATAATTCAAGCCATCAAAACCTGACAAAACAAGAAAACCATGATGCGGAAAGGCTTCAAATATCCAGATAAAACGATTACTGCTAGCTACAGATTTTCCAATTATTACAAAACTTAAAAACCAGTCTCTATGTAGCGAGACTAACAATAAACTGGGATTATTAAAGTTACCAACTAAATTTTTCTCAAAGTGATAACACAATTGACTGTTTTGACTGTTTCTTTCTTTTCTTCTCTCAATTTTTTTTTTTTTAAAAAAAATAATAATATGTGAATTGTTATGTGAATTTTTTTTTTTTTTTTTGTTCTTTTTTTCTAAAGCTACAAAAAGTAAATCGATATTATTTCCATTTTTTTGTTTCTTAGACTGACAAAGCAATTGGTTTAGTTGCTTCAGTTGTTGTTGGTATATCGAAGTATACTTAAGAGAAATATGTGAATTTTTATTTGAATGTCGTGAAGCTATATAATGAGATGCCTATTTCAGCAATAGCCAAAGAGAACTCAAAGCCATGGTGTATTAATATATTTATGTTTAATGATTGAGTTAAATCTACACATTTGATTGATAAAGTTTAATATTAATGTGAGTATTCTTATATATTTTGTTAATAAACTTATATGTTTTTCTGTAAAAATGCAAATGAATTTGAGTTGTTTATGTAAAAGTTGGTTAAAGTGCAACTTGGGCTTTTCAGATATTTAATAAACTGAATTTATAGCTTGATATTTTAAATTAATTTGAGCTCAAACTTAACTAATCCTTAAGACCATCTCCAATCGTTCACCAAATCCATCATCAAAGTCAAATTGATGAAAAAGAGGTGCTTTTTGTGCTCCAACGGTTGCACCAAAACAGCATCAAATTGAGAAAATATCAAATGTTTCACCAAACTGAGGATGGCTTGCCCCTTTTAGCAATTCACTGTGCATAGCCGTTGAGTTGGACCCACCAAACGACCGGCCGGATGTCCCTACGAATGACCGCTTTAAAGCAAAAATTTGTGAAAATTTACATTGACAGGTTGACCCACAGGTCGATCGGTCGACCACCTCAAATCTAATTTGTCATTACATACATAAATGAGGGATTTTAATATCTAATTTGTTCATTCTATTTCATGTGATATTTGTTATTTCTTTATGATTTTGGGGTTCTCAAGTAGAGAGTTGAACTAAATATAATATTTACTTGACAATAGAATGGAGTCACTTGCTTTAATTTTAATTTTATTTTTTTTTTGTCAAATCAAATTGATATAAAATAATATTTAAATTATTAAACTTAATATATGTACATATTGGGTTTGAATTATCTTAATTTTGTCATTTAATTTTAGAGAGCAATTGAAATTAGTAACTTCATTTTACGATCGACCTTGATAATTTAATTCAAACTGTTTAAATTTTAGATTTTGTTAAGTATAATATTTATACACAAATTTAACATAATTGAACATCAATAATTTTACGTTTTAAAAATTCAATGGCAAAATAAACTATACCAATTTCTTTATAATTTACATTTTACTTTACTTATCGCCCCGGTCTCACACAAAATGGATCATGGGTACAATGTGTGTGATAAAGAGGTAGGTGTGGGAAGAGAAGTTTATGTTGTGTATTTGGAAGTATTTAAGATTATAATCGAGCCGAGTCAAATCGAATTTTGAGACGTTCAAGTTTAATTTGTTAAGGATTAGTTAAGTTTGAGCTCAAATTAATTTAAAATATCAAGCTATAACTCAGTTTATTAAATATTTGAAAAACCCAAGTTACACTTTAACCAACTTTTACATAAACAACTCAAATTTTAGCTTAAAATAAAATTACAAATTTAACTTAAATTCATTTGTATTTTTACAGAAAAACATATAAGTTTATTAACAAAATATATAAGAATACTCACATTAATATTAAACTTTATCAATCAAATGTCTAGATTTAACTCAATCATTAAACATAAATATATTAATACACTTTGAGTTCTCTTTGGCTATTGCTGAAATAGGCATCTCATTATATAGCTTCACGACATTCAAATAACAATTCACATATTTCTCTTAGGTATACTCTGATATACCAACCACAACTGAAGCAACTAAACCAATTGCTTTGTCAGTCTAAGAAACAAAAAAATGGAAATAATATCGATTTACTTTTAGTAGCTTTAGAAGAAAAGAACAAAAAAACAAAAAAAAAAAAACACTTTCACATAACGATTCACATATTTCTCTAGTTTGGTATGACATGATCAGTACAGTCCATCATTTGTAGCCCTGACCCTGAGACTGCAATCAACCTAAGAAATCAACAAAATGCATGTGAAAATTTGCAAAAGTTTTTGTTAGTAATGGGCGCTCATGTGGCATGACCATTTGAATTTGAATTTGGAATCCTATCCAAATAGGTTTTGAAATTGAATTCAAACCTATTTAGGATGACCACTCAAGATACAGATATTATCAGTTTTAACTGATATGGATAGATATAATAATATATTATATATCTGATATATGGTTATGGGTAACCAAAAGAGAAACAACGTATGATCTGTTTCTACCCATATACTGACTCTCTTCCACAAAACAACGATCAAGTCTTTTGCACTGTGATTTGTGTGGGTGATATTCAATCTGTGATATCATTCCATTGCTGGGTTGGTTTATCAGTTTTCTGGAAGCACGTGATTTATCCACGAGGTTCTATCATCGAAAGGTATGATCTGATTATTTTATCCGCTGCATGTTTTGTGTTTTGATTTACATTGGTATCAGAGCCATTGATGGATATTTTCGTGTTTCTTTTTAATCATGTGTATATTTTTACATGTGTATTTTTACATTATATACATAAATGTTTGTATAGAAAAAAAAAATCTACTTTGATTAGATTAAGAGCATAAATATTTTTTTTATATTCATTAATGTCTTTTTTTCATACCATAAACGGTTTTATTTTGAAAAAAGGAGTCCGGCAGTATAAAAATCGGACCAGTCAGTACCCTGGAAGGCGGCGCGTGGAATGCACGGGCCACCACACCGCAGCCACGCGCCCACACGCGCCCACACGGCTGAGCCGCGCACCGAGCCGCTCCTTGAGCCGACTTGCGCCGAGTTGCGCCGAGCGGCGCCGAGCCGAGCCGAGCCGTTTTTCCCGCCTGGTTTGGCTCTAAGGCTCTGTTTGTTTGTTTTTTAATTCTGAATTGCGTTAATTGGCCATAATTTATTCGTTATAGCTTTGTTTTAAGCATGGTTGGTACCGTTAGATTCAGAATTAAATTTTATATCTTCTGTAAAATTTTGAAATTTTTATGAAAATAAAAAAATATTTTTCCTAAAATAATAATGCATTATTTTTGCTTTAAAATGCATCTGGTGTTGCATGATTAACTTTCTGGGGCTGAATTTTTTATTGTAGACTATTGATGTAGTTTACTATTTACTGGTATAGTTGTAGCATTTTATCAGATTATGAAATATTTATTTCTGATTTTATGTGTGTTTATTAGTTATTTAAAATTCCAGAAAATTCCAAAAAAATACCAGAAAATTCCAGAAAATTTCAGGATGATGTACTTTCTGTTATGGCATAATTTGAATATTAAATACAACATTTTTTTTTGGGTTTGTAATATGTTGTAATTAGAGGAGCATGATTATTTATTTATTTATTAGAATTCCATTATTAAATAAATATAGCATGAGTTATTTGTAGATTTACATTAAAATGCTATTGTATGGAATTTATCATGCTTTGTATATGCCATAGTCAGTGGGAGGTTATTCGGTTGAGAGAAATCTTTGTAGATTAACTCCCGAAAACCAATATTTTGCGCATAAATTAAACTAAATTTTGGATAATTGTCACTTGTGGCGCAAGAAATGATTACGAGCATAGCGGGTTTTCGATCTTGCGACTTGTGTAATATTGTCACTATTTAATTTAGATTTTTGCGGCAAAATTATATTATGCTAAACAAATTAATCCCAATGCGAATTTCTCTCTAAATTGATTTAACTTATGGAAGTTAATTTGATTGACCTAGACTTAGTAGAGATGTTCAAATGTGAACAAACTAATCCCATTCTTTAGATGAGCAAAAGTCTTGGAGACTTTAGGTCAAACCTTAATTGAGCCAAAGTAAGGAAACATGACTCAAAGTCGCCGTGGTTTTGTTGCCTTGTATGGCACAATAAAAACTAATGTGTGCGCTATGGTTAGCGGCACGCTACATAGGAGAGAGAGAGAGAGAGAAAAGGAAAATCTACTGATCATATAAATTGTTATATCCAATAACCGAACAACATTGATATAACTGACCTTCAATGATATGAACACACTAACAACATTATCAATAAATTCATCAACATATCACCATCAAACAATATAAATTTTAATAAATTATCTATGTTAGCAACGTATCAAAATATGTTGGGACAAGGTTCTGTTGGGATAGATATGTCTTCAAAAATGAAAGATTTCACACAAATATTTGATAACTTCAAGTAAGACTCATTCCTACTATTTTAAAATAATCAACCATAGAAGTCACTAAATAGAAAGCTTTTATAGATCACATAAACCAACAAAGGCCATCAACTTTTAAGTGACAAAGCCCAGAGACAAGTCCACTGAATAAGCTTGAAAGGGTACAGACCAGCTATAAGATCCATGGTATAACTTTATGCATTATTCAAATAACACAATTTTTAACTAGTCCTCCAGCAGAGATACTGTGAAAGTTATCATTTTGCTATAAGATGCCAGTCATCAATAAGCACTTAAAATTATCACAGGTCAACCACAGGAAATAAGATGTACCTCCATGAATCACTGCACTAGGAACCTCTGACTGCAGTATGTCATCAGTGAATGGCTCATCTTTAGGCTTGATCAAAGCACGAGAATCATGTACGTGCGGCTTGGGTGAAAGGACAATGCCAGTGTCACCCATTGGTTCTTTCAAGCGCACTGCATGAGGCGACCTCACAGAAATTCCTGGAGCAATTTGAGGTAAGAGAGGTTCCTTTCCTTTTCCCGTGAGATGTACTGGAGGAGGGACCAAATCAGATTCAGTTCTCCTTGTAGCAAATGGCTCAGTTCTGTCAGCAGCACCTGGCTGAGATGGCTCAAAACTATCCTGTATTGACACGGGCTTAGGCAAGACAGGTTGCTTTCCTTTGTTTCTAACAAGTGGCTGTGGTGACTGTGTCATATCCTGTGACCGTTGTTCGGGACAAGTCTCAGGCAGATCAGCCTCCTCCACTTTGGGTGGCCCTCTTGATGAAGTTTCACCCAATCCAAAAGAAGGTGAAACATGATCATTCTGGTTTCTCAAGCGCAACCTTTTTAGAGGACGTTCGGACTCCTCATGCATCTGAGCTTCTTCATCCATTTCCTCTTTCTAGTCTCAGACAAAAAAAGAAAAAAGGGGAGGGAAAAAAAGAGAAAAAAAGAGTCAATAATTAAAACCAGTAAGTGAATATATCATATGAGGAAGTGAGATAACAGCATCTTGAATCAGTACAAATATGATGATAGGCCACATACATCAGTGATTTCATGTTTCTTCTTTTGCTCTGACGCCTGAAAGATGAATTAAATGAAATTGGTTCGAAAAACTTAAAATAAACAGATGGAATAAACTAATAAAAATAAAGGAGCCAAACAGTCTGACTAACAAAAAAAGAAGGCTGTCAGGTAAGATAAAACACGCACATGAGAGAGAGAGAGAGAGAGAGAGAGAGAGAGACGCACCTGTGTCTCCTCTTGGTCAAATATAGCATCTGCGAGGGCTCTGTAATTTTCTTCTTCAATAAGTTCCCAGTTTTTGTCATACAATTTTAAAAGATTTTTCAAGACTGGTTTCACTTTTTCTTCAATGATGCCAATACTCCTCATAGCACGAAATGCTCTTGCAACTCTTGGATTTGGTGCCATTGCTTCTCTCCAAGTCAATATTTTATAAAACAGAATTCCAAATATTCCAATGCACCTACATTTCCCTAGATTTTGTGAGAAAGGTAATAATGGGAGAAAACTACATAAGATGCTTTGAGACAAAAAAAAAAAAACAAAACAAAAACAGATTTCCTAGGACAGAAACATCAAAAAATAAATAAATAAATAAAAATGCATCACATAATGCCATCAAAATTAAAATGCATTACAAACCATGCAAAAAATATCATACTTAATCCAAATATGAAAAATAGATGAGCAAATTTTAATTGCAGTAATGACTTTGTCAAGGTACTACACGTCTTGAAGGAAGGAGAAAGAAAATAAAGCAAATATTTCTGTCAATTGCCATTAGAAGTTGAAGATAAATTACATTGACCTCTCTTGACGTTTATGGTAATTCTAGAAACCTCACCTACCATTTTTTAAATGACACTGACCTCCCATCTAGTTCAATTTTCTATTCATGATTCTCCCTTTCGCAAGTTGATTGTAAATGGATTGCTTAGGTTGCCCTTATTTTATATATACAGACATGAACACGATTGAAATCCATGCATAATAGCCAAAAATACCGTCATTTTTTGTGTTAAAAACAAAAATGCCCTCATTTTTCTGTATGGAAGAAAAAATACCCCATCACCATCTTCACTAAGTCCACTCCCTGGCAGCCCTCTCTCTGAAGTACCCATGTTTAGCACTTCCACTTTGGCATGTATAGACCTTTACAAATCATCTAAACTACCAAAATGCAAGTTACAACATTTGTGTTAACCAAACAAAATTTAGTCCCCTTTTCTTTAATAAAAACATGGATGAACAATATAATTACCAATTATTAATTACAAAATATTGCGAATAGAACCCCACCCAGCATCCCCCATGCATGAAATTTACTCCCAACCTCAAGCTCCAATAAATAAGCTATAAAACTTTAAAATATATATATATATATACACCTGAGTTGCCAATGAACCACCAAGAGAAGCACTCAGAGAATAATTCAAGCCATCAAAACCTGACAAAACAAGAAAACCATGATGCGGAAAGGCTTCAAATATCCAGATAAAACGATTACTGCTATCTACAGATTTTCCAATTACTACAAAACTTAAAAACCAATCTCTGTAGCGAGACTAACAATAATCTGGGATTATTAAAGTTACCAACTAAATTTTTCTCAAAGTGATAACACAATTGACTGTTTTGACTGTTTCTTTCTTTTCTTCTCTCTTTTTTTTTTAAAAAAAAATAAAATTTATTGTTTGGTTATTTTTTTCCCCTAATGTACAAACCAATAAGTTTCAATTACAGAGCAGAAATCATGATCGCTATATGATGGCCGCAAGACTGGCTCAATAATTTATTAGTAACCCAAAATAAAGAAATCTTTAGGTTCCATGATAAATAGAGCTTAAATAAACACAATGCTCCACTAAAATTTATAAATTAAAAATAAAATAATCTTATTTTTCTTAAGGCTAATCTTATTTACCATGCAAAGAGAAAACAAAACTGTAAATGTGAGGAACATTTAAGTTTCCCCCAAATATAGCTAAACAATAGCAATGTATTTGGCGATTCAAAGCCCAAACAAACCCTAGAAGAAAGAAAGAACCAAATGGTAGTGATTGAAATACATTTCGCAGTTTAAAACCCATAAATTATTATAAAAATAACACAAACTGATTTCTTTTTTCATTCAAACTAATAATCGGGATAACAAAAAGGAAGAAGAAAATCTGAAAATTGAAGAAATGTAGAGACTGAGACGCAATCGAAGAAGAAACTTACCAGTTTTTTCGGAGCGATTTGAAACGGAGTGAACTGAGAGTGTGCGAGAGTGAGAGCGATAGGGCACAGAGACAGGAGAAGGAGAAGAAGAAAGGGGGGAAATATTTTACACTTGGGGGTTTGGGAAGAAAAAAAATAGCATCGGTTAAGCTAAAAATCACAAAAAGATAAAATAGGTTAAAATAGTTAATAAGATAAAATATCACATCAAATTCATAATTATTTCACTTTTTCTCTTATAAATATCGCATCTAATCACAAAAAAAATCAATCATCTTTCCAAACACAAAAATTTTAGCCTACTAAAATAGTCAAAAACTAAAATAGCCTACTAAAATAGTCACTTTCCAAACGAGGCCACTATGTTTGGATGGAGTGATTTGGAGAGAGAAGGAAAAGAAATAGAGTAATTTGTATTTCTCTCATTTGTTTGGTTAATTTAAGTAAAGAGAACTGAGAAGAAATAGAGAGAAATGGAGAGAAACTCATTTCTTTTATAAGTCTTAGTTTTAATCTTTTCAAAAGTGAAGAGATTGGAAGAGAAAAGAAACTACTATTTTCATAATATCAATTTTTTTCCTATAAAAATAAAAGAAATAAAATGATTGAAAATATAAAAAGACTATTTTGGTAATATAACATAAAATAATTTCTTTTCTTTTCTCTTAATAAAATCTAACCAAACAAAAATAAGATAAATTACAATCATTTATTTTCTTTTATTTATTCTTTATCCCAACAAAAAGGAAAGAAATCACAATTTTTTTTCTTTTTTTTTTGTATTTAAGTAATTATTTCTTGTCTTTCCTCTCTTAAATTTCCAAACATAATGTTAGAGAGAGAAAAGTGGGTTCAATTTAAAGAGAGAGAGAGAGAGAGGAGGGGCCGGAGCTCTCTTTGGACGCGTCATCAATCTGGTTAGGAAATATTTCAAGTACAAAATCTTAAAACTGTGATAAAGTAACTCGTTTTTTATTACAAAATCTTAAAACTATGACGAAGTAACTCGTTTTTTATTTTATTAATTTTAATTTTAATTTTTTTTTGTCAAATCAAATTGATATAAAATAATATTTAAATTATTAAATTTAATATAAATATATATTGGGTTTGAATTATCTTTATTTTGTCATTTAATTTTAGAGAGCAATTGAAATTAGTAACTTCATTTTACGATCAACCTTGATAGTTTAATTCAAAATATTTAATTTTTAGATTTTGTTAAGTATAATATTTATACACAAATGTAACATAATTGAACATCAATAATTCTATGTTTTAAAAATTCAATGGCAAAATAAACTATACCAACTTCTTTATAATTTACATTTTACTTTACTTATCGCCTCGGCCTCACACAAAATGGATCATGGGCACAATGCGTGTGATAAAGAGGTAGGTGTGGGAAGAAAAGTTAATGTTGTGTATTTAGAAGTATTTAAGATTATAATCGAGCCGAGTCAAATCGAATTTTGAGACGTTCAAGTTTAATTTGTTAAGAATTAGTTAAGTTTGAGCTCAAATTAATTTAAAATATCAAGATATAACTCAGTTTATTAAATATCTGAAAAACCCAAGTTGCACTTTAACCAACTTTTACATAAACAACTCAAATTTTAGCTTAAAATAAAATTACAAATTTAACTTAAATTCACTTGCATTTTTACAGAAAAACATATAAGTTTATTAACAAAATATATAAGAATACTCACATTAATATTAAACTTTATCAATCAAATGTCTAGATTTAACTCAATCATTAAACATAAATATATTAATACACTTTGAGTTCTCTTTGACTATTGCTGAAATAGGCATCTCATTATATAGCTTCACGGCATTCAAATAACAATTCACATATTTCTCTTAGTATACTCTGATATACCAACCACAACTGAAGCAACTAAACCAATTGCTTTGTCAATCTAAGAAACAAAAAAATGGAAATAATATCGATTTACTTTTAGTAGCTTTAGAAGAAAAGAACAAAAAAAAAAAAAAAACACTTTCACATAACAATTCACATATTTCTCTAGCTTGGTATGACATGATCAGTATAGTCCATCATCTGTAGCCTTGACCCTGAGACTGCAATCAACCTAAGAAATCAACAAAATGCATGTGAAAATTTGCAAAAGTTTTCATATGAATCGGGTCAAAAGTCTTACTATTTATTTATATGATCAATCACTTCATCAATGACTTGAGTAAATAACAACTTGTTTCATCTCGAAAACATCCAATTGTTTGCTCAATATCATCGTTGTCTCTTATTGGGTAAGTCCATCGGGTTTTATTACAAAACCAGATGTTTGATAACAGCGTAGTGTTTATGGTTGCTTCATTATCGCAGATACGATGAAGGAACAAAACTCGAGCCTCTTAGATAACATACTACTGTTGGAAAAATAATGGTTTTTTGGTAACTTTAATGCAATATTAAAGTGGTTGCCAATCCTCAATTGAGGTGGAGTAAAGTAGGTTTAAAGTTTTTGTAGTGAGATCTTTACATCACAGAAAGAATGACCAAAAACCATTAAGGTTTGAATGAGAAATTGACTTAAGTTGGCCTCATGAAAGAGGTGTTGAGAAATCCCACGTTGATTGTAGAAGAGAGCATTGATGAGTATTTAAATCCCATTTTTTGCCTTAGGGTGTGAGTTTTTTGGAGCATCCAAATTTTTCGAAGGAAGGGAGTTATGGATACTTCAAGGATGGATTTAGGCCAAAACTATGGTCCAAATTGGTTATGGAAAAATTGCCACACGTGCATTGTAATTTGACTTTTCGTGCTTCTTTCGGATACAATAGCCCTACAGTTCAGACTCCCGTGGTTCTAAATCTGATTCCACAAGTGCAATGTGAAATAGATAAACACAAATGAGTCCAAATCCGGCAATTCTTTTGGAAAATCGATTTTGAATCAAAATGTCAAAAATAGACTGCTTTGCCAGATACAGAGTCGCCACCTAAATATTTTTGGAAAATTTAGGAAACATATGACTCTGTTAAAGGCCACGTGTCAGTCATCGCTAAGATTGTCTCAGCTCGGGAACTTAGGTACAAGAGGGGAAGGTCATGAATTGAGCACCCCACACGCCCGATCAAAGATCGGCCTCTACTAATCATGACGTGATTCTTATTTACATTAAATGCTCTTGTTCCGGTTATTAGGCTATTGTTACTATGTGATAAGCACACAAGTATAGACTAATTTGCAAAAATTGGAACACTTTGATTCATGTTTGTTTGAAAATTGTTTGAATATGCATCACTTGAAAAAGTGATCTCATATATACATTACTCAAATTATTCCGATTCAAACAATTAGCTTTTATCCACAAGCATTCAAGCAAGTATATCAATTAAGCACTTAGCCTTATGGCAAGCACGCTAGACATGGCAACAATCACACGCATACGATATGCTAAAGCATAGAAGTGCTCTCCTCGTACTTCAAGGCAAGCCAAAAGAAACAAAAGGATTAGAAACATGCAAGTCCCTAACTAATGCAACATGACTAATGCAACACATGCAATTAATGGGCTCGACTACTAATATACCATGTGAATCATTTTGATAGCATGCGGTTATAACACGTATTCAACGGAGTAATAAACGACAATGCTTTGTTAGAATGATGAACCGAGCCTTGATGCATGCAAGACAAATGGATGCAAACGTGGGAAATGCTAAAAGAAACATGATATTCTAAACTACCCATTATAAGCAAGTAAATAAAAGGGAGAAAGACGTGGGGTTGGAAGACATACACATTATTACAATTTGGCCTTCGCACAAGAGGATCCGAATAAATGCCCTAGCTAAGATATTTACTAATTATTACAAACCAAATGAATAAATTAGCTAAGCTACTTAACTAATTATTATAACAACGAATTAACTAACTACTTTAGCTAATTAAATAAGTACAACACAAAATTAACTAGATATTCTATTTAGTTTAATACAAAAACTAACTAGTTAATTACAATGCACTATTAATTAGCTAATTAATTAACTATTATGAGTCCCGAGGAATGAGGGTTGACCCATGCGTGCACGCAGATTTCCATCGGAAAAAGTCCTCTGTTTTGTTGCCAGAATGCCTCTGTTGCACAGTTAGAAAATTGCACTTTTTTTCCACCTCAACGTCTGTTCTGCTCTACTCTGTTGGAAAAAGGACACTGCCTAGCTGGAAAAAGTAGCCGGCAACCCAAAAGTAGTGGCCGACTAGCCACTAATAGTGACTTGCCGCCCAGTAAAAGTGGCCTACCGGCCACTAATGTTGGTTCTTTCCTGCAGTAACAAAGAACAAACAGAGCACAAACCAAAGTATTCTCAGGGGATGTTTGTCTACCCTGTCTCTCCTTATTAGCAAACAGGTCAAAGGAGAGGTAGACTTGATTCACAAGCCACCAATCGACGCATTTTCATTGTGTGATGACTTATGAACCGAGGGATACAATTTCAATAAATGGTAAGAAAAGATCAGCAAAACCTTCTCTCTATCATAGATTGATCAAGGGAAGTGGTTGACCTTAGAAACTTGGACAATTTCATCACTAACAAGTATGAAATGACTCAAGTCTCAATGTATTTAATTAACGTCCGATTGAACACTAAATTATTTTATGATCTTGTTCCGTTTTAACCCAAATTTTATTACTCCATTTTAATTACCTTCCATTCATTAGTCAATTGAGTCCAATAATGAGCTTTAAGTCTACTAATGGAGAGAAGTACCAAACCAAATGTTGTTTTGGGCATGAGAGGGAGATCATGTCGTTGGTAATGAACCCCTAAAGGGATTAAACCATTAAGCACAATATCACCCTTTCAAGCTTAAACAACACTCCTTTTGGAGTGACTCTCAAAACAAAGAGAAAAAGCCAAGAAAGGAGAGAGGTTGCAGAGATTCTTAGAGGTGAACACAAGTATGGAAAGTAAGAAATAAAGGCCTCGTTTGTTTTTAGAGGTAGAATGAAGGGGATTGATAGTGAGGGGATTGATAGTGAGGGGATTAAGTAAAATTGTATTTGTTTTGATGATAGTTGTTAGTGTAGGGATTGTTAAATTATTTTTATATAAAATAAATATAAAATAATAAACAAATAAAAAAATACAAAAACATTAA